GGGGGGGCGGGGCTAAGGGGTGGCTCCACCCCCTCACCCCCCAACCAACCCCCCCATCCCCCTGTGCAGCGCAGAGCACCGCTGGCCCCCGGGCTAGCAAGAACCCCCCCCGGGCTAGGAAGGGGCGGTTTGGGGGCTTTAATAAACGGAGTTGGGCCACCCCGAGCTGCCCCCAGCGCCAGGCAGCCCTTAGAGCAGCGGGCTGGGGTCCCCGGAGCTGCAGCCCCCCCCCCCCCCCCCCAACCCTGGAGTCCTCCCCCTGTGAAGAGGCACCTGCAGGGAAAGGTCTGCAGCTCCCCAAATTCCCCACGGTCACAGATCAAAATATTGCTGGGTCTGGCCCTGTGGGGTCTTCTTAAGTCTTTCCACAGAGAAGGTATCGGTGAAACGGGGTGTTAACGTGCTTTTATTACAATTATTAATTACACAGCCAAAAATCAAAAAAAAAAAAGAAAAAAAGTGGCCACTTACATAAGTCAAAAGGCAGCGCCGAGCTGCGGCATCCTCTGGCTGAGGCAGAGCACAGGCTGCCACCTCCCCGCATCCCTCCTCTCCTGACTCAGCCCAAAATCCTGCACAAACCCATCGGGAGAGAGCAAGGGTAGGGACAGGCTTATGGGAAAGAGGAGGGAGTTCCTTCCCTGGAAAGGAGATAAAAGAAAAGGCTGAAAGGCAGCACAAGGGGTCAGCTGGAGGTAATCCACCTTCTGGAGTCACCGCTGCCTGGGGGAGGGAGAAGACAAAGGAACACAATTCCTAAAAACTTACTGAAGAGACAAATACGTTTGTTATCCTGAGATGAGGAATACCTCTGCTCGGTTACAGCACTAACGCTGCTGGCTCTCAGGGTCCCACACGTGAGGGAATGGAACAGCAGCAAACTTTAGCCCCTGAAGATCAGTCTCCACCAGAGAAAGGAGAGGGACTTCTCTAGAAAAGAATCCAGAGCGAGAATTTACCATAAGCAGGTCAAACTCCTTGGCAGTTTAAAGCCTTTATGGCATTATTTGGAACAGGAAGCAATTGTAAATCGTTCCTCATTTTACTACACATGGGACCACATCCCTTTTTTTCTACTCCAGGGACGATGCCTTCCCCGTTTTGAGGTCACAGAGAACTTGCATTTTGTCTTGACAAAGAAACGTCCCTTCAAAAGCTCGCTCTGAAGTGCCTTTGTGTTCTGGAAGACACAGTACTGACAGGAACAACCACAACACGGCATAGTATTTTTCGGAATTCACAGCAACACCTACCAAGCACGGCTCCCACCGCTACGCTCAGCCACCCCAGCAAGACAGACTGTAAGGCAGATACCACCTTCAGCAACACATCCTCTTCCCTTTTCATGGATTTCACCTACCAACTTAGCCTTCCTAGAAAACACAACATATGAATAATTCAGCACGGGTAGAGATGGAGCCCTAGGCAGGCAGGATGAGGCCGCACGACCACAATTTGTTTAGTTCACCAAGGCCAACTCAAGTCCATCCTCTTCCCAACCGAGATAAGCGCGTCCTCATGCAGCAACATCTGCTCTACTTAATGCAAACCAACACTTATTTATTCAGCTCAAAAGCCCGACAAGCCCAGAGGCAGAACAGTCTTTGTTTATTTGTGGGGCTCTCACTTTTTCTCCGTCCCCGAGAGCTAAGAAACATCACAACATTTTGATCACGTCCTATGACAGACCTATCACCAGGGTCTACCTGCCCTCAGGGGGATTTCAAGTGAAGGGATTCTCATAACTCATCCCTCTCCACGGGGAAAACGCCAACAGCTGCAGAACATCCCTTCTGCATCTTAAGTGCTAGAGAATGAAACACCATCACGATTTATCCTGAAGCACCTGCCTCTATGAAGACAAGCAGAAAACAATTCCATGCAGATCTCTAGCCCGGGGTGGTGGTGGGGACACAGACCTGGCAGCTCAGAAGTTCTCCAGCTCTAAAGTCTTTGGGTATGTACAAGGGAGCTCCAACACAAACATTGCCTGCGCTTGATCACAGCTGCTTCCCCACCGCCACGGTAATACCACTGAGAAGCCATTACATAAAGCCAGCTCAGAGAAAATGCAGGATTTCCGGCAGCACTGTTCAACAAAGGCTAAAACTAAAAAGGGACTCTCCCTTTTTACTGTTTTTGCTTGAAATAATTTGGCATTAACAAAGGCTTGAGAAGAAGTAGCACCACATTCTGGATGCCGAGGTCCTGGGATGAGCGTGTCTGAAAGATAGCAGGCACTTTTTTAATTAAAGATACACCGAAGAGACAACAATCCAAGTTACAAATAAAACCACTACTGCATATGCTTTTCATTTAAGCACCAGTAAGTAAATATATATATACGGATGTTATGATTCCCACCAGGGAACCCGAAGTTCAAAGCAGAGAGCTCGAGCAGAGAGAAAGGCAAGTGCCACTACACGAAGCAGAACACAAGCAAAACCATTCCATTCCAAGCCTTTCTGCCACAGGATTTGGAGGCTTTACAGACATAATCTTTTGGAAAAGATACTGTTCCAATCCAAAAGCAAAAAGTAAATGAAATACAGCTAAGACCTTTTTCTGTATTTTCACATGCACTACTTCACTTGGTCTTTTTGTCCCTTCCTGCAGCACCTGCAAGCATCTCTTCATTTTACTGAAATCCTCTTCAAACAAAAAAAAAAGAAGACAGAACAATCCAACACACCCCCTTTATTCATTTAAAAAACACGGAAGAAAAGTAATAGGGAAAATTTTAGCAATAAAAAAGGGATCCTGCTTAAAAATCTATAGAACTTGTCTAGCAACATAAACTGATTTCTTTGGGTTAGAGATGACCCCATACAAAACCCCAAATTCAGAACACTCACAGTGCAGGAGAGTCTGGCTACAGACCACTTTTCTACTTCAGGTTAAACTCTTCCCTTAGACTCAAGTATCCCACTGCTACCAGTTTCGACTTAAGTAGAATACGTAGCCCTCACAGTAATATTTTCCTTAAATGGTAATGGATATGTTTTAGCTTTCAGACAGAAAAACACTCTGGGCCATGTTTGAAAGAACTCTAGGGTCACAGAGACTTATGGCTGACTCTTTAGAGCAAACTGAGAGCAGACTGCATAGCAGTTATACAAGCAATTAAGAAAAAAATCTCTTATTTGGCATTTCTCTATCAATATCTCTTGGGCCTGTGACGTGAAGGTCATTCACCATGAAGCAGATATAACGTACGCCAATGGGTTCTGCTTGGCTGAGATGAAAGACTTTCATGCTCCTGCATATAAAGCAATGAACAGTGTTTCCAGCTGTCCCTGAAAGGCCTCATCCTCTTCCCATCACGAAACTTGGCTCTTCAGCATCATCTTCCTTCTCTTCCTCCTCCTTGCTATCCTCTTCCTCATCCTCGCTGCTGCCTTGCTCTTGAGATTGATCAGGTTCTGAAAACACAAAGAGTATGAATTGATAACACATTCCCCCTGTGTCGCCCTCGTTAAGTATTTCACAACAAAATCATCTCAGGTGCTAAGCCAGCGTGTATTAGGTCACACTAATTAGTACAGATGGGTAACATATTCCCACGAGTCTTCCTTGTTAAATATCTCACAACAAAGTAGTCCCAGATACCAAGGAAACACGGATCAGGTTATATTAATTCTACTGAGCGAGGCAGAGCTCAGAATATCAAATTCTCCCTTGGAGAAATATTCCCTTACCTCCAACGTTACCACTGTGCCAAGTCCATCATTAAACAACTCCACCTCCTACAGAGCATTATTTCAAACAGAGGTAGCCAAACGCTGAAGTGATAAATTATCTCACCTCTACACGTTGGCATGAACTTTCAAGGATTGTATAATACTGTTAAAGAACGTGGGCCCTAGGCAAAGCTCGGTATATTTCTACTCCTATCCAGGTTTACAGAAACTCCACAAGCTGCCATGAGCTTTTACTGACTGATACACTGCAAGCAACTCGTTAAGATATACGTAAGATTAACGAGGTTCACAGAAAACCCATGAAGCCTGCAAAAAGACCAGAAAACACCTACTAGAAATTAAATAAAGCATAATGAAAATTAGGTACGGCATGAAGTGGGACCTGAATCTAACAGCCATCCTTCTGCTCCCAGCAGCTCTTGTACCTTTACTGTTTCTCAGGCCAAGTCACACTGGGCTCATGCCCTGACCAGTTACAGCAGGATTCAGGCTCAGTGGTCTGATGCCATCGCGTGGTGAAGTTCTGTACTCACATTTTTTTTTTATTAGGTGTCTGTACAATAATCCAACTTTGTTAAAATGGACCTTATTTTGCGTCGACCTTTATTCTTAATGTTTTTACTACAACAAAGGTGAAAGACGGCAACTCAGGTTTTACTTATTCATTCAAAAAGGAAGATAAAACGCCTGCCTGCCACGTCCAACAAAACCCATTTCATTTAATTGAGGGAAAACTCTCAGATCTCAACCCAGGGCACACAAAACTAGAGAAAAGACATGCCCGATCTCAGTAGACTGAAGATGGCTTCTACCTCCCTCCACCGATTCTACTTTATTTTTAAAATAGAGAACCACAAACTGTAAAGAGCTAAGAACTGTTCTAAAGACAGAGGAGTTTGGATTCTGGCTTCCAGAAAATGATTTACTTGTGCCAAACAAAACCACTCCAGCCCAGCAATCGGTACGTGGCAGTCCCACAGCACAGTGCCAGTCCCTGAGCCAGCTTCCCGCTCTCCCAGCCGCTCCCTAAAGGGAGGGTGTTCTGGTTTGTTCACTCAAAAAAGAGAACAAAAAAAGTACGTTGACTCATACTTAATTTCTCCTCCCAGTCACAATTCATAAATGAGTAGCTTAAAAAAAAAAACAAAAAAAAAACAAAAACCCAAAACCAAAACAAAACACCAAAAACCCCCGCTCTACTACATTCACTTCCTGTCACAAGTAAAATTAACCTAATGATTAATTTGTCCTCTCGTGTTTATATGGGAGGCTGGCGATGGTTCAGTTGAAACACATCCAGTTTTGAAAAGCCAAGCAGAAATAAGGTGGAACTGTCAGACAAGTCACTGTTCAAGCAGAATTATCAGCAACTGTTGTAACTTGAAGACTGCAGAATTAGCGAGCTTATCCACAAAGCCCTGTGCTAACTCACAAAGAACAACTATTTGAAAGGAAGCAACAAGCACTCAAAAGTCTGAGCAAACGGTCACACTGACATTGCTGAACATTAATTTTCAAGACTGCAGGAGAAGAGAAGCAGTCAGGTTTTCACGTTTATTTCTATATGACATCAGATAGTCGTGTGGAACAGATGGCACCACGGTGGCTCAATTTCTTACACACAAAATCGTAACTCAGTTTCTTGCTGCCCAAGCTGTGCACTTTTTCCACCTGTTTTCCCATACGCATTCAAAACACACTTGGAAAAATAACAGCCTTTTAGCAATATTGCGTTTTTTAGCAGAAGATATTCTAAATCTGCGGTTTGTCAGAATAGCTGGGGCAAAACATCCACAATCAACAGACCTGGATTCCAATGTTTGCTGTCCAAAATTTCCCCTAATAAAGGGAAAATATTCATAAACAGCCAAGTTATTCATAAGATTAAATCTCAACAAAAATGGTTTTCAAAGAGGACTTTTGAAACATTAGCTAAAATAACAAGCTTAAGGCTCCTATCCATGTATCAAGAATGCTTGGGGTAGCAGGGTAGAACAAACCCTTCCAGGCTTCAATTAGGGAACAGAACTAAGTCTTGAGAAAAGAAAACTAAATTTCACTGACCTTTTTCCTGCTTCTTTTGTTCGAGTTTATTTTTCTTAGCTTGCAGTTTCTTCTCTTTTAATTTCTGGCTATAAATCAAAAAAGAAAAACACTCTTATGCAAATCCAACATGGTAACGCTCCTGCACATTCACACACTGATAAAGGACGTACTACATTACAGACATTTTGGAAAAACAGACTTCAGCAGAGAAGTTAAATTTTAATTTGGCCTCAACTGAAGATCCAGTGAGTGCAAACTTGGACACATGACCAACAGAAACTTTTCTACGGTGTTTTTAGTCTAATTAAATTTATTTTATTTTTTTTAAAGTCTTGCATCATGCCACTGCAACCAAACTGCACGATATCCAAGAATCTCAAAGAACACAGAAGGAACAAAAATGAAACTGCCCCTACGTTTTCACTACCTTGCCTTATAAAGAGAAAATGGTGTCAAAACCCAGACTGCTGGAACTGAACACTGGGGGGCAAAAAAAAAAAAAGTCAATCAATGCTTTAATTGAAAAAAATAATGCTATGACCTTCCTCTTTGGCTGTACTTAATCAATATGCCCCCTGAGTAACATTAGGGCTAAAAGGGAATTTCAGTTTGTACGACCAGTTTTATTTTCCTAGCAAAGGTAACCAGGCAGCCCCATGGCAGTCACAGGGAAGAGCAAGCTGGGATTCATCTTCCTCTCTCAACACCATAAACGAATTCTCTTGAAACAGAGAGCCCAGTGCTGTACCTGTTAGGTCAGGGCAGAAGAGGAAGGGTGGTGAGGGAAGTTAGAGGGGCTCCTGCAGGGCAAAGCTGCAAACCTACACCATTAGACCATCGAAGGGGGACAAGGAGACGCTGGAGTGTTCAGGCAGCATTTGCTGTTTGAACAGTTGTTTTCTCTCTCAGCCAGGGAGAAGGCAGCAGGCCAGATCTGACTTGCTGGCCATCTGTTGGCCCACACTAAATTAAAGTAAGATGGCAGCAGTATTTGTGTTGTGCACTTTTGTGCTAATAAGCCAGTGAGTCACTTTGCACAGGCCTTTCAGCAGCAGCTCCCAGCTACAAGACACAAACCCCCGCTCTCAAAGAAGGTCAGACCCTCTGAAAGAGCTGAGCCATTATATGGTATGGTAGACACAGACCGTGGAATTTAAACTCTTGTATTGGACTATTTCTTGAGAGCATCAACCTTGTAACTGATTCACTTTGTCTAAAACTTAAGAGAAAGATGGATTTAACGTTTTTTAATTTTTCCATCTAACTTCATAGACCTGCCAGACATTTTGATGCAGTAGGTAGAAGCGGCTGCTGATTTTAAGAGCACTGCACCCATCAGTGGCCTTTCCAGTATTCACAGACTGAACTGGACTAGTCACACTGACAGTGCACAGAAGACAGCATTAGGGCCCACCACTCTCTGCTAGTCCCAATCCATACGTGTACCCATTAAGCAGTACCCATTTTTTGCACTTAAGCTGCTTGGCGTCAGCTGTTTCAGGTATTTGTTTAAGCCAGATGTGCACACAAACCTTCCCTGACATTTTAATAACAAATTGCAGTAAGACAGCTCGCAGTCAACACCACCCTGTCAGCAAAAGCTGCTCAACCAGTCAAAAGTTATCCTGGTGGTGATGGCACGGAAAATAAACCACGCCAGCAAAGCCTGTCAAGTTTACAGCCACCTTTAGAAACCAAACAATGACATTCACAAAATTAATTTCCACAGCCAGACTTCTCAGCTGATAGATGTAGACACAGAAGGACAGCGTTTATCCAAAGCACTCAGCTACAGATGAGGCACAGAGCATGAGGGTTTCCACGTCAAACCTCCTGAGAACAATCTGCCCTTACCGCTTCCTTCTGCGTTTTGCTGTTTGTTCTTCTGCAATCATCTTATTCCTCTCCAGTTTCTTCTGGAATTCCTCATCTAGTCTTTGCTGTAATTGATCACACGTCATACTTTGGTCACAATCTAAATTAAAATACTTCTTTTCAAAGTCATATCCTTTTAGGGAGAAGTGTTTTAGCAAAATACAGAAGGGAGCTTTGCCAGATTTTGTCTGGCTACTTCTTTACACAAAAGCCATATTCCTAGGGATGACTTCTGTACAGACAGCATTTTTAACCTGCAGCCTGAGCCAAACACTGAAGTCTTTAGAGGGAGGAATCCTCACCAAAACAGATGAGGGAGGTTGGGCTTCTGCCCTAAAGAATGTTTCAATAAAAACAAGAGAATAATTTGAGACACAAACGTTAACATATGGATCAAAGGACTCATCTTGGCCAGGAGAGAATGTAACAATAATGCTCTCTGAAAGAGGTGCTATTCTACTTGAAGACTTAAAAGAGAGCGATCTGGACTCTCTGCACAGGCACTTGCTTTGATTCTGTCTGTGCAAAACAGTGATATGAGGGATTTCCAGTTTTTAAAGTATTTTCAGTCCAACCTGAGAACACAAACACTCACGTTCAGTCTTACTGTGTGCTAGGACTCCAGTGAACAGAGAAGATGGAGCACGTCTGACAAAAAGCACCAAATGTTTCAATACTGACAAAGACACCACATATCACATATTCCTACATTTTTCCTCCGCTAAGGGGTGGTTTGGAACTGAATCATTTGTACATGACTTTAAAGGAAAAAAAGATTTGCAATGAACATCAAATAGTGAAGGAGAGGGAATTACAAAGAGTCCTGCTGACCTTCTCAGCCATGGCATCCATGAAATCCTGCCTCTGGTACTCTCGCCGACGAAGATGCCGGTATACATGAAACTCCCCACTCCCAGCTCCAGCACTGGAACCTACAATAAAAAAAGAGTTAGTCTGCTAGAAAATAACATTTACTAGATGTTCACAAATGATTACAGCTAGCTAGGGGACAGGACACACAAACAGGCACTGTAAGATGAAAATCTACTAACACCACACAGAGTGTGTCACCATTTTATACAAGCTCAAATCACTCACAATAAAAAGCCAAAGCGAGCAGCAAACCCTTGCACTTATGGTTCACTCTCCTCTAGAGAGAATCCAGTCTTAGCTAGACACCAAGCAGTAAAAGAACCAGAGATCAAATGCACACCCCATTCTTTTATAGGCAGACGTGAGCTAAAACATCCTGCTGAGGCTGCTTCTCACTAATTTTCAGCACCTCATACAAAAATAAAGGTCAACAGAAAGGTGATAAATCTCATCATATTATACTTTCCCATGCAAGACAGACACCACTGACAGTTTTTGACCGTTTCTTCATAAATGAAATCCCTATAGCTCTCTCTTTCTGGCATCAGTCTGCATGTTGAAGTCTCACAGGAGCTTTCAACACCGCACTCCATTCTCTTCCTCTGTCTCCTGAGCCGTTTCTGAACGCCAAGCACACAAACGCACGCCTCAAAGAAGACACCTGGTAATTAAAACATGGCAGCTGGGACTGCAAACAGGGGTGCTCTTGATACCAACAGAATCCCAACACATCAGGTGCTCCCACAAAAACAAGACAGTTCAACTCAAGCACATCGCAAAGCTATTTGAAAAAGCCACGAGGGAATAACAGTAAACAACACAGTTTTTCAGAAGTATATAAAAGCTTTAGTCCGAGATCAGTTATTCTGGAATAAGAAGTCAGCCTCTAGAAGGGATCATTAATAAGGATGAAGATCCCAAAGAAAGACAGTACATGCAGATATAATTTATACCACAGCTACTAAATTTAATCCCTGCAGGTAAAAGCAAAGTGTAAGAAGAATACTTGGGTTGGGTTCCCTGCACGGCTGCCAGCTCCCTACCTGACCGTGTACAATCACATCCACTGCACGTGTCTGCTTCTCACTGCCTGACATTCAGACTCCAAACAGCCAAGAGGGACTTCGTAATTCTGAGCTTCCAGAGCACACTCTCAGATCCATGGAAAGGACAAATTTACTTATCATCATTTACTTGTCATCGCCAGAGCAGCAGTTCATTTCAGTGCACACAATCCACGTGCTGGAGTGCCAAATACAACTTGGAAAAGCAACTCCTGAAGCACATTTCATACCTCTTTTCTCCAGCAAAATGAGCAACAACAGAAAACCGTCTCTGCCTTTTTCTGTTACACACTTTTCTAAGTTTAACGTAGCTGACCCTACAGTTATCTGAAGAACAGTATCTTTACCCATGACATCTCTAACGAACTCCGGGGGAGGTCGTGGTGCCCATTCATTCAGTTTTTCGGGAATTGGTACAGTCTTTTCCTGCAAGAACAAGCCAACCAGTCATCAGTATCTTCTAGGAGCAAAGTCTGCAATTTTAACACATTGTTGAAAGGTGGTGTATGTCTGACAACAGCCTCTTCCACCAGCTGACAGATCTCAGAAGGAACACAGCTTTAGAAATTTCTTCATGCATAGGGATCAGGAGCAGGCAGAAAATGAGAATCAGGAGGTATCCTCTCCTCCCCTCACATTCAGACCTGCAGGCCAACAAACCCCAGGAGGACTGGGAGCGTCTGTGCTTCTTTTCAGTACAAAAACTAGAAGGAAGCAAGCCAGCACCTCCAAGCACTCACAGAAATTGAGTATACTCCCACTACCAGTGGTCTGGGAAGAGATGAAAGGCATTTGTGCACCTTCCATGTCAGATCTACAGAGGACAGGAAAGAGCAGAGAAGGGAGAACACATGGTGCAAGGTCAGAGGAAGAACACAGCGTGGGGACGTCTCAGCTTCCTCCAGCACACACACAGAGGGAGGGCGAGAGTCTCCACCCGGCAAATACCTCCTCCTTGGGACAAGGATCAAAACACCCAGTTAGAGGAATCAGGGTCATGCTTCCTCCCCCCCAAATTAAAAACAGCAGGCAGAGGAACAAGCAGCTGGCAGAGCACTGAGGGGCCAGTCCTCCCTCCCGAGTCCCTGGGGATGGGTCTCTCCCCTCAGGGCACCCCAGGGAAGATGGATCCCTCTCCCCTCACAGAAACCTGGTGTGTGTGCTGCAGGGATCAGTCCCTCTCCCCTCGCACAGCCCAGGAAGGAGGACGGTAGTGGTGGTGGTGTCAGTCCATCTCTCCCTATGGAACTGGGAAGGAGGAATGGAGGTGCCAGCCCCTCTCCCCTCACGGAGCCGTAGAGGAGAAAAGGGTGGGGGGCATCGGTCCCTCTCCCCTCAAGGACCCGGGAGAAGGAAGGCAGGGGTGGGGTGGGATTGTCAGTCCATGTCCCCTCATGGAACTGGGAAGGAGCGGGGGTCGGTCCCTCTCTCCTCACAGACCCCGGGGGAGCAGTGGAGTGGTAGTGAGGGGGGGGAGAAGGGTGGTCGTTCCATCTCCCCTCAAGGACCCGAGGAAGAGGAAGGCGGGGGGGTGTTGGTGTTCGGTCCCTCTCCCCTCACAGAAGCAGGGAGGAAGAAGGGAGGGAGGGGGGGTCGGTCCTTCTCCCCTCACAGAACCAGGGAGGAGGAAGGGGGCGGAGGGGAATTGAGGGGGGGAGGTTCGGTCCCTCTCCCCTCAAGGACCCGGGGAGGAGGAAGGCGGGGAGAGGACCCGTCCTTCTCCCCTCACGGACCCCGGGGAAGCGGCAGTCCCAGTCTCCCTCTCCCCTGACGGACCCACCGCCCCGGGAAGGGGCCGCGGCCCAGCGGGTGCCCTCACCGGGTTCCTCATGAGCCGCTCAAGGCGGAGGCGCTGCTCCTCGGCGGCATTCCGCGGGATGACGAGGGGCTGCGGCTCCTTGCGGGGCCGGGGCGGCCGCGGGGCCGAGGGCGCCGCCATGTTGAAGCCGCCTCCGCGCCCCGCCCCGCCGCTACGTCACGTGACGTCACGCCGCACGACGCTCCCGGCCTGTAGGGCCGCCGCCGCCTGTCATGGCGGCGGGTGAGAGGAGCACACAGTGGAGAAGGGAACCCCACGGGGAAACCGGGCCCACAGGGCACCTGCGGCATGGCAGGGTCCGGCAGGAGAAAGCAGGCAGCGGCCGAATGTGGCTGCGGGCCCAGGCGCGGCCTTGCTGGGGGCTGGAGTGGGCCCCTGCCTCGCCTCTCCTCGCTCTGGCAGTGGGGGCCGCTTCCCCCAAAGTTGTGTTTGCTGGAGTTCTGATGTCCCCTGTCTCCCCAAGCACGTTCTCCCGGCTGCAGGGAGCCCATAGCAAGGCAGCTCCTATGGAGCTGGGTGTGTTCAGCCCGGAGAAGAGGAGGCTGAGGGGAGACCTCTCTCTCTACAACTCCCTGAAAGGAGGGTGTAGCCAGGGGGATCGGTCTCTTCTCCCAAGGAACAGGCGATGGGACAAGGGGAAATGGCCTGAACTTGCACCAGGGGAGGTTTAGGATGGGTGTAAGGAAGAATCTCCTCACTGAAAGGGTTGTCAAGCATTGGAACAGGCTGCCCAGGGAAGGGGTTGAGTCACTATCCCTGGAGGTATTTAAAGGAGGGGAGACACAGCGCTGAGGGACAGGGTTTAGTGGTGGTTTTGGCAGTTTCAGGTTAATGGATGGACTCGATGATCTTAAAGGTTCCTTCCAACCTAGACGATTCTGTGATCTGCCACGCACTGGCCAGGCTCTGGCCTCAGCCCTGACAACAGAGCCCAGAGGAGGGTGAAAATTCAGTGCGTTTCGCACTGGCACCCTCAGCCCTGCCAAATCCCTTCCCCGTGACGATGTAAGCGATACGGGACTTCCTAGTGCCTCCCCGCCAGGCTGCCCGCGCCATCTGTTCGTGTCACTTTGGTAATTAAGCAGCGCTGCCTGCGGGCTTTGTCCGCTGACAGTGATGAACGGCGGCGTGATTCCCCACGGCGCAGCCTTGCCGGGCACTGGAGAGGCAGGCAGGTAGTGTGGGGGGACGCTGTGCCTTCTGCATTCATATTCCCTCCTGGATTTTGCAGGAACAGTGCCTGGACCAGCTTGTACGCTCAAATCCATGCTTTTCTGACGGGGATGGAGGGAGCTGCGAGTGGGGAAGAGGAGCCGGAGCTAGCTGCAATACAGGCTTCCTCTGCAAGCCAAATTTCTTGTCGAGCCACTGTGGCCTTACAGAAATGGCATGGCATGTGCTCGGGCAGTGCGTGCGTCAGAGAATTAGCAACTAAAGGTCAGCTGCAATGGAAGAGGGGCATAAGCCTTTGTGTAGTTTATGGAGATAAGCTGGGGCGGTGAAGCTGGGCTCCGGGTTTCAGACAGCTTCGTGCTGTGCATGTGGAGAGGGTGGCAGAAAAGGGGAACAGAGAGGCTGGGAATGGCTCCTTCTGAGATTTATGGGTCATTTGTATGACCTGAATGTATTAAGCCCCCATTATCTTCCCCCTTCCATGAAGAAAATCGGAGCTGATCCTCAGGTTCAGCCGTATGTTTACAAAAGACTTTTCAACCTCTGCTGAGGTTGCTATGGAAATGGTGCTAGTTTATGCCTCGTGTTTGTCTTACCAACCTGATTTGTAAAAGAATGGTGTGAATTTAGTGTTGGCTGAGTTCCCGGCTGGCCATGCTGGCCTTGGAAGGCATCCTTGCAGTGAGAGCCCTGGCTGGAGCAATGCAAACAGCTTCCCCCATGCTGTCTCCTGGCTCACAAGCTCCCGTGCCCACAGGTCTCCCAGCCTTGGGTCCTGTTCAGCCCACCAGGAGAGAAAACAGGCAGTGCCAGCCTGTGCTCAGCCCTTACAAGGGAGACACCAGCTCTGTTTGCAGGGGCTAGGGCAAGTACACACCCCTGTCCCCTCTCAGTCACCGCAGAACGGGTTTTAGAAGCAGAGTTGCTGCAAATCGGTTGAGTTTCCTCTTCCATCTGCTTTGCTGAGTCCTGAGCACAACACAGGCCAGTTTAGCTCGCTAGCCCCTCAAGTGTCACCCCGTTTCTTCCTCCTCGCTGCCACGGCCACCTCCCTGAAACACAGCTTCCAGAAGCCGGGGTGTGAGTGATGAGCTGTCAGGTCTCAGCGCTCTCGTGCCAGTCCCCAGGAGAGGAAGGCAGCGTGGCAGCCGTGCCCGCAGACATTGCGACAGCTCGAGGGCTGCGGGGAGCAGCTGGTCAGCTGAGTTCTCTTGCCCAAAGCGTGGCTTGTGCCAGCCAACAACTCACGGCCCCGAGAGATAGCAGGCAGCTGCCTGTCATCCAGAGGAGCCCACACAAAGAGCGTGGGGAAAGAGACCTGGGAGCATCTCGCTCTCAAACGACACGTCCAGGGAATTAGGCTCTTGATGTATTACACGCATGTTACTTTCAGGATGTATCTGGGAAGAGGGGACAAGACACAAGACTATTGCCTGAGTCATAAAAAAAATAGGAAGTGTTTCATCATGCCATTAAAAAATACAAAGCTCACGAAGTCGGAGTGCTGGGCTGGGATCTGGATGGAACTGGGCTTACTGGGGACAGGGGATTTGCATTAGAACAGGGAAGTGTTTTCACAGTTCAGCGCAAAACAAACACAAAACTCCACTCCCTGAGCTGTATCAAAGCAGCTCCTTTGTGTTTCAGAGCGAGGCATTCTGAGGGGCTTTTCCTACCAAAAGGATCCTTCTGGAAGGACCACGAGCCTTTGCTGAGACACATCAGGCAGGCAGGAGCAGCCGGGGACAGCTCGAACACCCGCGTGAGACTGTGCTGCTGAAATCCCATGACATTTTTGCCCTCTTTGTAGCATTTACCAGGGTGCAGCTCAGCACCAGCATCCCCACAGCCCAGTCCCACTCTGTCCCCTGGCACACGGTCCATGCCCTGAGGCTGCTTTCTCCTCCTTTCACTACCACATCTCTGCCTTTGATGCAAAGGGCTGTCACATCCTGCCCCTGCCCTCCCAGGAACCCTGCGAAAGGAAAGGAAAGCATGTTTTCCAGCAAGGCTCACGCTGTAATTAGACAATTTTGCTAATAGGCCGAGGTGTGAAGGGCTTACGGTGAGGCAGGAGGAGCAGTTGTCCCGCAGGCATAGCCCTGGGCACAAGGAGTCGTCCATACGGAGGGGCTGTCACCTCCCCAGCTGCCCAGCTCCTGATGGATGAGCTCTCCAGGATCGACAAACAGCTTCTCGGAGACTTTTTGGGAGGGAGAGGTTTTTGTGAATGGATGATGACAAGAGCCACGGCCTGCCTGCAGAGCTGAGCAGCTCCCTCCACCTCCCCCCCCACTCCCCCCCCCAAAAAGCCATGTGTTCGCTGCGTCTGGAAGCCGTGTCTGTCACGCTGCTTAGCTGTGACAGTACAGTCTGGGACAACGTACTGGTTTTCCCGGGGGGATCCTCAGCAGAAGAGAGCACACCAGAAAGACACACAACGGCGGAGTGTGAGGCACTGCCTTCCCAGGAGAGACAAAGGCACGGGAGGGGGGAATGACACGCTACGGGGACCTCAGCTTCTGGGAGATGCTAGGACCCCTTTGGCCAGGGAGGTCCAGCACCACTCCCCAGGGCTGCTAATTTACTTTTATCTCCACTGCTTTGGGGATGGAGGCGTTCCGGCTTGCACCAGTGAGAAACCAGACAAAGAAAATAACAGACTGGGAGGAGAGGAAACCCTGCCTTGTGCAGCCTGGAGCGTCCTCCACCTCCCTCTGCTCAACAGTGAGAAAAATACCCCTCTCCTCCACTCTCTGTGCACTCCATGGGGCAGAGGCAGGCTAAGATAGCATGGAGGTCTGCACAGAAGCAACACAACAGCATCCTCCCTCTTTTTTTTTTCCCCAAAGTAGAAAATCCAGCAAAGCCCCAAGCTCAGGCACTGTCCTTTTTGCCAAGTGATTTTATTTTAAAACTGGAACTCAAGTTCTCCACTTGTTTAACAAGTCCCTTCTTTTTTTAAATAAAATTAATTTATTCTACAGAACAGTAAACTCTTCCAGACTCTTCCCTATTTACAAATTAACATTTT